CTATATAGTTTTAGGGGGCGAGTGAGCTTTTCTTTTTTAGTGTGCGAGTGAACTATCTCCAAGACGTCATGTAAAATTAATCCGCAAGCTCTCGCACACAAGCAGAATTTATAGCTCTAGCGGTGTCTCTTTTTCTTGATTTCTATCTATGCATATATATCTATATGTCAATATATATATATAGATATATCTATATATATAAGTGTGTCAGTATGTCTCTCTATCTCTGTATGTCTATCTATGTCAGAATATATATCGAACATTTTAGCTAGGGGTAGATATATAAGAATTTGTATCGATATTCGTAGATTGTTAAAAATTCAGATTTTCTTCGTACGTGCAAAATCCAAAACAAAAAAATTGGAAAAAAAAAGAAAATTTAGAAATTGGAATGTAAATGTGTGTTTATAAATAAATATAAGTTTATATATATATATATATATATATATATATATATATATATATATATATATATATATATATATATATATATATATATATATATATATATATATATATATATATATATATATATATATATATATATATATATATATATATATATATATATATATATATATATATATATATATATATATATATATATTCTCTAATTCGATAAAAAAAAATTGGAAAAAACCCGGAATCGGGTTTTTAAAATTTAGAACAAAAAATATTATTCCAAAATTGAAAAATTCGGATCGAAATCGACAGTAGTTCCTTGCCCGAACGTAGACAGATATCAAGTCTCCAGGACCACAAACGATTTTAGTTCTTAAGAAGCCTTTACACATGGCACAAGGCATAGAATACTCATCAAATAATCAATTTATCGGTGGTTTGAGACGTTTTCGCTGAAAATCAGGTTTCTTAACCTGACTCGCCGGTTCCTGTATTTTACACGGTTGAACTGTATTTGGTCATTTGACCCCGGTTTTCAATTTTTCCGGTTTTAGAGGTTAGACGCTTAGGGAATACGGATCCAGGGTTTTCCACCTGCTCTTCCGATTTGGAAACTTTTCTTTTTCATTCCAATTTCTGGGTTATTTCATTCTAGTGTTGCCCTTTGGGAAAAAAATAAAATAGAGTTACTTGGCTATTTTTCCAATTATGGTAATACTCAAACTGCAACTATAGATCACAGTTTCTTGAAACTTTCTCACAATTTTTATTTTACACCTTGAATTTTTTATTCGTCAATATTTATATTTACAATTCATGCAAATTGCCAGAAGGTTTAGCTGAAAATGTAAACCTCATCAAACCCCCTCCTGCAAATACGACAAATTTCGAAACCAGTTTATTACTTATGCTCAAAATCAATCACTCAACCTTATAGTAGGTAAATAACACACACACACACACACACACACACACACACACACACACACACACACATACACGCACACACACACACACA